GCAGAATAAGGAAAGTACTGACCACTCGATACACAACAGGGCAGATGCTACAGTTAATGGATTTCCAGGGCACAAACGGGACAGCCTGAAAAACATCTACCTGGAATCTGAGGTGCCTCTTTTGACCTATTTCAGAAGCAGTGAAGGGGAACGGAAGTGACTTTGATGCCCACCGCATTCTACCCTTCGGGCATCCCTTTCCGCGCAAGTGTTTATTTTGTGCACTTTTAGCTGACTGGAAGATTTGCTAATTTGCTACTTGCTCTTCTTGCTGCTCCGAGTATAAGTAAGATTAGGATAAATGATAACAATAGCACGTCAAATGTATATTCAACTCGTCAAATTTGTTATCGCTATCATTTCTCCTAACTGTCTTGGATATTCTACATAAGTAAGGGTATATGAAGCACTGGGCTGCGAGAGGGGGCATCGCTTTTAGAAGCTACCTCTGTCAATTCTCACCTGAAAGGGGCGTAGGTACTATTGAGCGCAGAATCCGCGCTCATACCCGGGACCGAAGCGGGACAGGTCTGGTGTATCAGAGAGTGTACCGATAGTGTGATGCGGAACAGTATCCCATCCAGGCGGCTGCTGTTCTGGTGAACTTGGGTCAGTCGCCGTACCGAAGGTATAACCCACGTATAACCAGCCCGATAATTGCTCAAAGCCCGGGGACGCACACAGGGAGTTTTGAGGGCCACTGGATGACATGACCCGTGCCGCTGTTTCCGTACCGAGTGGGGGAGGGAGGCCGGGGAAGGGGAGCGATTCATGCAGTCGCAGCCCGCGTGGAGTTAGTGCGGCAGTGTGTACTGTGTATATTGGAATTATTTCTCCAGCAAAGTTTTGGGTTTGCTTGAAGTCCACTGATCACGGTGGCTGTTTGCGGGGAGCGGGCCCGGCGGGTTTCCTCCTCCGTCGTCTTCCGTTTTCTTCCACACTTATCATAGCGCGCTTTCAAACCCCTTTCCCTTCCTGCTCATAACGGTGTTTCCACCGTCTGGCAGTAGTTAGAGCTACACCGAGAATCTCTGCCGCCTGCTTGACAGAGTGACCTTGATCGAAAAGCAAGATGAGCCTGCCCTTGTCAAGATCACTGAGGTGTGCCATCGCGCTCACGTCTAGCCGCACACACTCCACGCGGGCTGCGGCCGCATACTGAATGGCTCTCCTTCCCCGGCTTTCCGCCCCACTCGGAACAGAAACAGCCAGGTCATGTCATTCCGTGACCCTCAAAGGATACTGTGCCGCATCACACTAATCGGTACACTCTCTGACACACCAGGCCTGCCCCGCCGTGGCCCCGCAACGGTCCCGGTATGAGCGCGGATTCTGCGCTCAATAGTACATACCTAGCCTGCACCTGTACCATGATAGGCTTCATATTTCAGTGAAAAGGTTGGCTTGCTTTTGACATTACAGCTCTTGCCCGCACACTCTTTATCATAATTTGCCTTGCCGTAGGGTAATCAAATAATGTTCATCACTGGGCTCAAGATTGCCTTGCGAGGTGTTATATATACTGAACGAGGCCGGTGTAAATAAATTTTCAAGACCGAGGTCCTTACTGGATTTTTGAACGAGGCCGAAGGCCGAGTTCAAAAATCAGTAAGGACTGAGGTCTTGAAAATTTATCACCGGCCGAGTTTGGTATGTATTTTACTGTATGCCAACGATGCCAACGATAAATTTATTTTCTGGACCGAAGCTCTTAGCCGACTTAGGAACGAGAACATCCCAAAATGTTGGCTTAAGTGCATTCTGGTAATGCATTTTTGACCGTGGTCAATTTGCTTACACCAGTTATTAACACCCCTCTGGCTAATGTATTTGAATAGACCAGGCATACAGTAAAACATATTGCCTAACATATTGTATCCCTGCCATCTTCACACTACCTACACTGCTTTTAAAGCACAGCTCCAATTACACGTCATTTATCAGCTGCCACCCGCGGGCCACCTTTCGCTCCCAACCTGCGGCCATTCGGCGTGTGATAGCAGTCACTAATTAATCATCGCCACGTCACGATCGCTGCCGACAGTGCGGATAACCCCTGCCTCCACGTCGGGCGGTATACCTGGGGAGAGCGCGGCCCGGGCCGACAGGGCGTGAGATGGGCGTGAACTGCTTGGCGTTGGCGTGACCTCCAGAGTCGGTCGGGATTGCCTAGGGCAGAGTCGATCCGGATTTCCTGTGGGGAGACTCGGACCGTGCGGGGTGACCGCCGGGCCATGGAGCCTCCCCGGCTGAACGAGCAGGCACGGCCGGAGGTGCCGCCGTAACTTTCAGTCACGGAGTTTTCGGCCGCAGCCACGAAAGTTTCCAGATCGTGATTTGGACGTGATAGAGTGCATCAATTAGTGCATGACTAAAGAGGTTTGTTACTGCTTCGCAAAATGCTCTATTTAATGCATACTCACTGTTGATGAATTTCATTAGGGTTAAATGGTGTCTTGCAAAATGGACCATCCTTTTGTGTTTCTCTTTAAAACCCTCGCCGGCCGAGGGGGTACCGCTCCCCATAGTTTTTTTTTCGCGATAACTCCGAACACGCCGGCGATAGAGAGCTGAAACCTGGCATACCTGACCTTTGATTCAAGCAGGATCTTTTGACACCAACCACATTTTCGGGTCCGGTCAGGTCACTGACCTATGATGTCATAAGTGAACCTCTGCACGGTCTCCACACGTCGCAACTTTGCAAAATGCTCTATTTAATGCATACTCACTGTTGATGAATTTCATTAGGGTTAAATGGTGTCTTGCAAAAATGGACCATCCTTTTGTGTTTCTCTTTAAAACCCTCGCCGGCCGAGGGGGTACCGCTCCCCATAGTTTTTTTTTCGCGATAACTCCGAACACGCCGGCGATAGAGAGCTGAAACCTGGCATACCTGATCTTTGATTCAAGCAGGATCTTTTGACAACCACATTTTCGGGTCCGGTCAGGTCACTGACCTATGATGTCATAAGTGAACCTCTGCACGGTCTCCACACGTCGCAACTTCGCAACGCCCTCACTGCCAGAGGAGCTTTTACAGGGAAATGAGACTTGCAGAATTTGTATCCATTAGGAGTCTCACAAAGTTTGTATATCTCGGATTTTTCCTAAAGGGCATATGAGGTCAGGTTATTTTCGTGACCTCACCATTATAAGTCAATGGGGAAAATAAAACTGCTATTTTGGCGCCGGGAACGATCTCCAACTATCTCAAGCACACAGGATCGCGATTTCATGCATTCCTTGCAAGGTTTGATGCTTCACTTTTGGAATGTTGACCTTGTGTGACGTCATTTATTACGTCATTAGGGTCATATTAGTTTTTCGTCAATACTCCCGATCAAATCGAGCTAGCGAGTCGGGAAAGCCACCAATGGACTCAGGAAGACCTGCTGAATCGAATGATATGCGATATGACCTCTTTTGACCAATTTCGTGAACCTGACCGTGACCCGAGTTCAACACCCTAAGTTGACCTAACCCGAACAAAAAGTATTTCATTCGACGCGCCTGAGGGAGACGAACAGGATGCTGCCAAAATCGCGACTCTGCAGCCGTTTTTTGCGAAGTTATTCACCAAAAACGGAACCGTACTTTGGAGCACTTGACCTGAGGTCACCGGTTGACCCAGGACCTTAAAATCGGGTATCAATCTCCGCGTCTCGTAACGGCGTACATGCTTGTTTTTTCCGCGACGCGCTAGCTCCCCCAGGGGCGAAACGGCGAGGGGGTCCTCCCGCCCCTCCCTCCTCGGCCGTCGCGTATGTAGAAATAGGTCCGGCGAGGGTTATATACCGCCCTTGAATTTATTCTTGAATACAAATCTGAATGATGAAAGGTACAGCTCTGTGTCGGATAAAAGAGCAGCGCATATATTATGTCAATACCTATCAGGGATATATAGGCAATTTCTTTGGAATCAGATTGGAAATCAGATTAAACTGTAGGAACTGCACTGCTGATCCATCTGAATGGAAAGGTACGCCGGATAATCACATTAACCGGTCCCAGCTTGACTCTGCCAAAAACGGAGTGCGACGAACTCCAATAGGTATAGTCGACTACAGAATGATGTTCCACTTTTCACAGGCAATTATTTGTCTGGAGTGGTAGGCTGTGCCGTATCACACGGGCTGAGTTCACAATTATAGCTGTGTCCCAATGCTCACAATCGACACGCTTAATTGCGTGATAAACGGCACAAGTTAGCGTCCGGTCAACTGATAGCTTCTGAGGAGTGGAACATCATTCTGTAGTCGACATCTCTCCCGTTAAGCTGGCTGTCTCAAGTCTGCCTGTCACATTTTTATCGATTAACAGACAACTAACTCATAAGCGTTATTATTCCAAAAATGCACGCGGCCGAAGCAGTTAATATCCAATTAAAATATAAGCACTCCTCTGTGGCTAGCTTAGTAGCATATGGTGCTAATGGCCCTGTCAATAAGTGATCATGCCTATGATGATGCTTTGATGTTTCATCCCTTTAATTATCTTATGATAATCACCCATACAAATGTGATGGCTTATTCATTCCAATATGGTCGTTTTTTACGTCTGTTTCGTTCATAATCATTTATTGAGTCTTAATGCAGATATTCAGCAGGATTTGCCACAGCGATGGCTACTGGCCATCGAATTCGTTTGTCTGTTTACGGATGTCGACGGTCTCTAGCGCAGTCCCACATCTCCAAAACACTCCATACCCTCAGTCTATCGGACGTGCCCTCGCGCGCGCAGTGACGTTTGTTTAGATAGCCTCTCTGGAGCACCGTCCTTGGAGCGCTGATTCGTCGCTCTGCGGCGGCGCGTCACTGGTGACCTTTGACCTGACCTTTGTGTGACCACCGCGCCGCTCCAGTGCGGCAAAACGCTCCGATACGGGCCGCACAGAGGTAGAAGCAGAAGTGCCTCGGTGCATCCACAGTGCGCTCACATATATCGAGGCTCGGCGCAATGTGCGGTAACAGAGGACGACGGGCCCGGGCAAAGTCCCGCTCTGCCCGGCCGCGGACGAGGCCGGGGGCTCGGGGGTCAAGTGGTCGGACTCACACTGCGCAGATTATGGACTCAGAGCTCGCCGAGACACGACGTGTGACGGCGCGGTGTCGGTGACCAGTGGTGACCAGTGATCGGCGGTGGACAGTGACCAGTGGTGGGGGGTGGACAGTGACCAGCGGTCGGGGGTGGACAGTGACCAGTGATCGGGGGTGGACATTGGCCAGTGTTCGGCGGCGGACAGTGACCAGTGATCGGGGGTGGACATTGGCCAGTGGTCGGCGGCGGACAGTGGCCAGTGGTCGGGGGTGGACATTGGCCAGTGGTCGGCGGTGGACAGTGACCAGTGGTCGGGGGTGGACAGTGGCCAGTGGTCGGCGGTGGACAGTGACCAGTGGTCGGGGGTGGACAGTGACCAGTGGTCGGCGGTGGACAGTGGCCAGTGGTCGGCGGTGGACAGTGACCAGTGGTCGGCGGTGGACAGTGACCAGTGGTCGGGGGTGGACAGTGGCCAGTGGTGGGGGGTGAGCAGTGGCCAGTGGTGGGGGGTGGACAGTGACCAGTGGTCGGGGTTGGACAGTCATCCGCTGGCAGTGATCTGTTTTAGTCCTGGGATCGGCGGTGTGAAATGTGAAGTGCTGCTCGCTGGCCGACCATTGAACTCGGTGGTAGGCCGAGGGAAGGCTCAGTTCTGACCACTGAAGAAGGTCTTGTCGACAGACTGTCCGTCAGTGATTGTTAGGGCGGCCGTTTGCGGCTCCCCGGTGAGCCAGCGTCTGTGGTGACCTCTGTTGCGGCGGGCGTGTTGACCGGGCCACCCGGCCGCAGCCACAATGAGGTCGCAGGCCGTGCTGCTGACCTGCTGCCTGCTGCTGGCGCCCAGCACCGCTCTGCCGTTCGTCTCAGACTGGCTCGGAAACCTCGAGCTATCCCGTAAGTGAATACCACCGTGGAGAAAATCGGCGACTGAGAGGAAGAGGTGCTGACCAGCCGAGGGCGGCGTGGGCAGAGAAATAGAGCTGTCGGACGAGCCTTCTGGCGAAATTTCATATCCCTATCCGAGGAGAGCACTCCCGCGGAGTGGAAAGGATAGAGAAAGGCAGATCGAAAGGGAAAGAGAGCAGAACATAATGAATGGGCGAATAAATGGATAATCGAATGCTAGCTCAGTGAACCTATGAAACAGAGTGCCAGATTATCAATGCATATCAGGCAAAGCCGTAACAACTGGAGCGTACGACTTGGTACGCGCCTTTCGGAACCATAAACCCTTTTCCGCTATCATGAACTCGGTCCCGTCGACCAATCCTTAGCTGGTTCGTGTAACCGTTAGCAATCACTGTAATCCGAGTTTTTTATTTCGTCTGTGAGAGAATCCCAGTAAATTGAGGTCGGAGGTGGGCGGCAGGTCGCATGTTTCTCTGACCGGTTCTCTATCGTGGGTCGGTCGGGCGGCGGGGTGCGGCGGGCTCGTGGTGGATCGACTGGGTCGCGCGGGGACACGGCAGGGACGACAAACGGTGTCTGCCGCTGCGGGCTGCGCCAGCCCGTCGGCGGATCTGGTCTGAGCGGGAAGGACGCCTTCAGAGGGATGATATCTTCTACCCAGAGGGCAGAGACGCAGCTGAAGATGAACTACTAATTGACACGGACTCGGGATACCTGGAACGAGCGGGACGTTTGGATGTTACTGGTTTGATAAGATAACAATATGCAGTAGCTGATAATGGCAGGCCTGTGTTTCACGCCATTTTGTTTAATAAGGCTTCACGACTGGTGTTTGGATAGTGTCAATTGTCATCTCCGACAACAGCATAATTTTTTATGTCACTCGTTGTTTTGGTCCGGCACTGCCCACTTGGTGGACTGTTGTATAGTTGCTGTATGTCTGACGGGTTGGGTTTTGGTCCGGCAGTGCCCACTTGCGGCAAGGAGGAGTGGCCTGTTGTAACTATATTCGACGTGTTCGGTTTCGCCCGGGCACTTTGTTAGCTCACGGGCTCGGTTTTGCTCGTGCAGTGCCCACTGGATGGCCTGTTGTATAGTTGCTGTATATCTGACGGGTTGGGTTTTGGTCCGGCAGTGTCGGGCTTGGTAGCTCACGGGTTTGGTTTTGCTCGTGCAGTGCCCACTGGCGGCGAGGAGGAGTGGACTCTGAAGGACGCTGCACTCCGAGTGGAGGACTCGATGCGCCAGACGCTGAAGAGGATGGCCACTGACGCCACGGAACGAGTCACAGGTGAGCACCCGGCCTGTGAACCGTTTGTGAACGAACATGTGAGCAGGACGGTATCTACGTGAGCTCACCCATCGCACCGGATAACGCTCAACTTGCCCGGTGAGGGTGCCTCACTTCGGGATACAGATAACTCAAACGTTATCGTCTACCATAATCAATATGTCTCACAGAATACCATTACCACTCAACTCACTTCGGAGCACAGAGTCGGAGCAAATCAGCTATCTTAAACAAATCTGGCTTATGAATGTATAAAAAGTAGACCTTATAATGATCTTTTTTTCAAAAATCATATTTATTACATCATAAACGGATGACACAAACACACAACACAAAGCAAGCAGGACACGTCAATCATGATATTAATGTCCGCGGTGTTATGTGCGGCCCGCCTTATAATGATCTTATGTTCGGTCGAGACCAAACATATCGCCACCACGCTCATACAAAAAGCCTGTCGCTACAGCCCGACTCTGATCAAGCTGCTGAGTCACAGCTACAGAAAAGACTGAGCGCGTGGCACGGCATGTCGCCTGCAGAGCTGCGGCGCTGGGGACGGTGATCAGGCATCTGTCGGCGACTGTCACGGCGGTACCGAGCCGCCGACAGCCCCCGGCAGAGCGCGGCGCCGCCGGCGCGCCAGATGTAATCCCACTTTCGCCGGTCCTCCGCCACCGACCACAGGACGGAGTTCACACAAAGTAGCGCTGATCGGAGCGGGAAAATCACTCATGGCTCGGTGATTTGTTGTGGTGTGTAGTGCGTGATTGTCGTTTGAACAGTCACGACACGAGTACAACTCGAGCCACGTATCGCTTACAACGTACGTACCACATGTAGGTGATTTCATCTGGTATGTATACTTACCAGTGACAACTGAACATTATTTTTATTTATCACCAGTAAAACACGGTCGTCAAGTTAGATGTAAGTGAATCCTAATCTATAATCTAAGATTCGGAATCAGGTGAGCCCCTACGATTTGGACCAAACTTGGTCAGTGGATAGTACGTAACGTCCTGATTATGATGCACCCAAAATCTAAGCTCGGCCCGCCATATTTACGAAGTTACGGATGCTTGAATTTCAAGGTCATTCGGGAGAGCCCCTACGATTTCCGTCAAAATTTGTGTACGGACACTCTATATGCTCCTCATTACGAATATCACAAAATTTAAGCTCGGCCCGCCATATTTACGAAGTTACGGAGGTTTGAATTTCAAGGTCATTTGGGTAAGCCCCTGCGATTTCCGTGAAAATTGGTATACGGGCATATTACATCATCCTCATTACAAATATCATAAAAGTTAAGCTCGGCCCGCCATATTTTTCAAGTTACGGAGTCACAAAGTTACGGAATTTCAAGGTCATTCGGAGAGCCCCTCCGATTTTCGTCAAAATTTGTATGCGGACACATTACATGCTCCTCATTACGAATATCGTAAAAGCTAAGCTCGGCCCGCACTATTTCAAAAGTTACTGACGTTTGAAACTCACTGAAATTCAAACATCTCTAATTTTTGAAATAGTGCGGGCCGAGCTGAGCTTTTACGATATTCGTAATGAGGAGCATGTAATGTGTCCGCATACAAATTTTGACGAAAATCGGAGGGGCTCTCTGAATGACCTTGAAATTCCGTAACTTTGTGACTACGTAACTTGAAAAATATGGCGGGCCGAGCTTAACTTTTATGATATTTGTAATGAGGAGGATGGAATATGTCCGTATACCAATTTTGACGGAAATCGCAGGGGCTCACCCAAATGACCTTGAAATTCAAACCTCCGTAACTTCGTAAATATGGCGGGCCGAGCTTAAATTTTGTGATATTCGTAATGAGGAGCATCTAGAGTGTCCGTACACAAATTTTGACGGAAATCGTAGGGGCTCTCCCGAATGACCTTGAAATTCAAACATCCGTAACTTCGTAAATATGGCGGGCCGAGCTTAGATTTTGGGTGCATCGTAATCAGGACGTTACGTACTATCCACTGACCAAGTTTGGTCCAAATCGTAGGGGCTCACCTGATTCCGAATCTTAGATTATAGATTAGGATTCACTTACATCTAACTTGACGACCGTCAGTAAAACGCCTTTTGGGCGAAGAACGAGCAAGCGAGATAGTGAGCCCTGCACGTGCGGAAGGGCGAGAGGGTACTTCCAACGGGCTTGTGCAAAGCACCCTTCTAACTGGTCGCTAGCGGTGTGCCAAATTTGAACGCAATCAGCCCAGCCGTTCCTGAGATCTGGAAGCGGCATTCTGCACGTGCGCACGTGCAAACGGGGTCCAAAATGACTTTTGCACGGCACCCTACTAACCAGTCCCCAACCGTGTACCAAATTTGAGCGCAATCGGCCCAGCCGTTCTCGAGATCTGGAAACGCCCCCTGCACGTGCGCACGTGCAGTAGCACCCTAACCGCAACACATGGGAATACATTGCCTGGTGGGTGCCTACCTGTATGCCAAGTTTCAGCGAAATCGCCCCAGTAATTACCGAGTTACTGAAATGGGAACAAATTTGGCACCTCTTCTTTTTGTATTTTGCACGTGCAGTGGGGGTCACTCACATAGATCAAGAGTATCCGACCTTTGATAGAAGGGATGCAGCTACCCTATAAAAATTACCGCACGACAATCGCTCAAGCCGCTGCTGAGATATAAGCCTCTCAAAATCACTACTTTTGCAAAACTGCTTGAACACCCTTGACTTTTCACGTGGCACGTGCCATGACGGTCACCGAGATGTATCAAAAGTAGTCAATTACGGGGTAGAAGGGATGGGGCTACCCCAGGGGCGCGGGAACTACTTTCCGACTGGGGGGGGGGGGGGGCACACCATAATAGAGGTCAACCTAGGGTACCCCCAAATCTAGTTTTCTCACCGGTTTTAGGCCACTTATTTTTCACCCCTCGGCTTTTTCAACAAAAAAAGAAAACATTTGCAAAAAAAGTGTGGTATTCCGTCTCAAAGCTGTGGGGGCACCGCCCCCACGGCCCCAGAGTTGGGGGGGCAAGCTGCCCCCACTGCCCCCCCGGCTCCCGCGCCTATGGGCTACCCAGCAAAAAAGACCGCAGGCCAATCGGTCCAGCGGTTGCTGAGATATAAGCCTTTCAAAAGCGTTACAGGCCGGGCCGGGCCGGGCCGGGCCGGGCCGGGCCGGGCCGGGCCGCTCATTCTGAGATTTTTCCGTTATATTGAAAAGACTTCGCTTCGCTCGCTGCGCTCGCTCGCTCGTAATTAACGGGTGTGCACTTAGTTTCTGGAAAAAGATTGATCATCTGTATCTTTAAAACTATTAAAGCTATCAATACAAACTTTCATATAGTGAATAATCATTCATTTGGGAATGAGCATGCCAAAATTCAGACCAAACCGACTATTTTTTCATACAGAAAGGAGCTTACAACTAAGTCATGAACGCCGAAAAGAGTGGCGGAATTTTCACAAAAATAACAAAAATTCCAGAGAAACAACTTCTCTTCCCACTGGCGCTTTCTAGGTATTGCTAGAAAGAAAGCTTGTGCCATTAGAGGAGCGGCACAAGTACGGGGAAGTGTGTGGCACATGCACAGTGTGCAGGTGTGTTGATTCGTGGCGAAAGTGCCCCAGCAGAAGAGGCTCGTTCTGGTAAAAGGTATTAGCCATCTTGTGAGCGTTCCCGATACGCTTCCCGTCCTCCCGTTTTCCATATTTGTAAGAAAATTTTTTAATTGTGATATTGTAGACCAAAAAGGGTAGAGATACAATGATCCAGCACTAGGCAGCCGATAAAAGCAACAGAGGAGCAATGAGACATGGATCTGTAAGCTATCACGATAAATGCTGAGTGCACAGACGAATCAAGCAATCACCTGTGGATGCTGGAATTAGATCACCTAAAAGGGAAATTTTATGGAATGAAGATGGGGTAAAACACCACCTCGAGAAGCAGGCGCTCACAAAATGTGGAACCTTAACCTGTTGACCACTTTCGACGCAATCTCCTGGTCAGTGGACCGCCATATCCCCACGTGCGGTATCCAATCATTATGTTAGCCCTATGTAGCCAATGCCGACGTCGATATCTTTTGGACAGCAGTGCTTAAATAAAGAAATTTTGTCACATTGGGAACATAACTGCCCTAGGAAAGTATAGGTGTCATGATCACACTACAATGCAGTCACTGTGCGCGCGGAGCGCTGGATCTACTGGACGGCGCACATGTACCGTTTGTGAGCCGCGAAGAGAATCTTCTTGGCATATCTCAACGGCGACCGAATGGGGACTTTTGAAGACAATATAGTACTAAGGAAGATGTTAAGTGCATATTAGCGTCTATTTGAAGTCCATAACCCGCTAGCCATCGCCACACCTGGACCCGGAGGTGCCGCGCAATTTCAACAGGGGGCGTCTGTATAGCACGTGGGCTGTAGACCGCCTGGGAGGAGAGAGCGCCTAATTCTTTTGACAACTCTTAACTATTGTTGCAATTTATTTGTGTGCCAAATATCATCTTAATCTAAGTTCAAACACTAAAGTTATGGCAGCACAAACTTTTTCCAGAAACTAAGTGCACACCCGTTATCAGTATTAGGAAGTGAATCTGTTTGTTAAATTGCAACTTGATTGCTCTAAGTGGCATCCTTGCGCAATGACATTTTACTTTTGACATCGCTTCCGAGTCCAAGCGAAAACGCCAAGTCGTCTGCGTGTCTCATCACTGATCCAATAACGCCACCGATCCGATAACCTTTTACCGGCGCTGCTCAACCGGCTCGTCTGTTACCGGGCCCGCGTCCTCGCTAACGACCGAGCCGGTGAAATGGCCGACGCCGCGGGTGAGGAAAACCTTTTTCGGATATCCTTCCTCGAACTATTTGGTGGAAGGAAAGGTTCCGGTTGTGAAATGGGTAAACATATCGCTATGCGGGTAATGGTGATTGGAAATAATCGGCTAGTGGCCTCATAAATGCGAAAACGACACTACCTAACTAAATGCATACTGACCTCTAAAAAAACGTAGGACGTTAGTTGCTGCAGGTGTAGCTATTTTCAATGGTATGTATGTAACCATTCAATGTATATCTACACACGTTGAGCGTGATGGTATTGTTTATTTCTAACTTTGAAGTTTTGTGTTCGCTTAATTTATACTTGAATAGGTGAGGTAATTATATTTAAAAAATAGATGTTTATGTTGAATAAAACACCGATTTCACCACACACGGAACCGTCTCGGCTCCCATTCCGACTCGGTCCCGGCCGTCCAAAGAGTAACCGGCGCGGTGGTGGGCGGCCCGTTCTGGCGTGGGTGTCAGCCGGCCGCGGCCCCGCTCCACCGGTAGGTAAGAATGCGCTAACTGTACACCTTGGGGCTGTAAACAACTGACCCGCCCCGCCCGCCGTCAGCCGCCGAGCCGGGCCGCCGGCCGGGCGGAACAAAGGCCTGTGGAGGCGAGCACTGACCCGGCTGTGAGCCTCTCTCAGACTCACGGTAATACTAACGATAGGACGTGGGTCCGGTATGGACAATACATACATAATGGACTCGGCGATGGTCGGCTGAAACGAATTCTCTGACTTGAAAGTGAACTTAACTGAACCGGTACCCTGACAGCAAAATTTATGTTTACTAGTATACAGGTATTCTTCTACATACCTACCCAGAAGGTAATTTACGAATACGTACAGGTAAATATTAGAGGTGGCAAAAGATGAAAATTTTGGGAACCAGACTCGAACCAGACCCGGCTGGACATTTCTGGAACCAGTCGGACCCGGTCTTAGTTGGAACCGGAACCAGTTGGACCCGTTCCCCAAAAGTCAATTAATACAAACTACCTACTTGAAGGAATCATTAGTTGATCATGTAAAACAGCCTATTTCCCACTGGGAATACTCATGAGCTACTGTGTGCAAAGAAACATTCACTTCATTCACTTCATATTTTGCAATAATGTGTAGTGTGCAAGATGTATAGCTTATGGTGGGACCCGGTTGGACCCGTCAGAAAATATCCAGGAACCGGTCTGGACCCATATGGGTCCAGACTGGTTCTTTGGACCGGGTCCTCGGGTCCACATTTTGCCACCTCTAGTAAATATGCATAACTAAGTATGTGAAGATAGGTAGCCGAAGGCATCGGGAGGTTGGAAAATTGACAGCTGCGGCGCCGGCGCACACAACTCCTCTGTTTACCTTCCACCTAGTCAACATGCTGATCTGCTGATCGATCTGATACCAAGATAAACGGCAACATCGCTGATATATCGCGTGCGCCCAACGATACGGATAGTCAGCCGAATCGACCAGACTATTTAGCGTAGGCCAGCGTCCAACCGCCGATAAACTCGTCAACGAAGGTTGATCGTCCCAATATACACTGGGTGGAGTACCTCTTCATATACGAATATCTTCCTCCCATGTGCAGCCTCAGTGTCCTGCGCTCAGTAAGCCAGTGCGGGTGTGTTTTTTTATTGAATGGGGCAATAATGCTACTTCTAGCATGTTCTTATCGATTGCGACGCGTAACACATGTCATTCGCCAGCAAGGAGGTCACTATAAAAACCCTTCGCTACCCAGCATCCATTCGTGAGGTTCCTCCTGATGTAATACAACATGTGCTAACGGATCGGCAATATTGTTTGTTGCTGTTTTATTATTGTAATCATGGCCACCTCTTATTTCGGGTTCCTGAAAAAATGCCTTTGCTGACAGATGCTCACTAACTATCCCCGTCTTCATTAGCACCGAGCCTTCGGTTAGCAGTTAGTGGTTAGCACCGTCCACTCTCGACTAGCACAGGGATCTGTCGCAGTGCTACCTACCAACTACTGTTTCTGGTTTCCCTCACCAGGTGGTATCATGGAGGACCCTCTGCCCGTCCCGGCCTCGCTGGAACAGGAGATCCTCGGCTCCACCTTTCGACTCAACAACATCGTCCTGACGGGCATGCGCGACTACGAGGTCAAACTGGTGCAGGTCGACCTGAAAGGGCACGAGGTCAGTCGCATTGCTACTCCAAACTGGAGTCCTCTGCCCGAACCTGCCTCACATTGTTTGGATCTGCGCTATGCTATACTAGATAAGCTTTGAGTGCTGTTTATGTCACTAGATGTCACTAGCGTTAACGCCTGAAGGTAGGCTGTATCGCATAACATATTGACGATGTATTGGCGAATTGTTTGCCGCTAGGTGGCAGCACGGGTCAGCATCCGAAAGTAGGCTGTGCCGCTTAACTCATATCCATGTGACGAATTATTCGCCGCTAGGTGGCAGTACTAGTCTGCGCCTGAAGGTAGGCTGTGTCGCATAGCACACATCAACGTAGAGGGGATTAATTGTCGCTAGATGGCGGTAGGAGCGAGCGCCTGACGGTAGGCTGTTCTGCATGGCAGCGGGGTCCGATCGACACATTGGATTAGCGCCATAGGCTTTAGTTATTGGAGACAGTGTGTGATGCGAACAGAGGTCCTGACGTGCCCTGGAACCGCCGTGAGCCGGTGTCCCGTTCGTTTACCGTCCCTCGACCGCCGTTCCCAGTACACGTACGAGCTGCAGTTTCCGGCGCTGTCCACCCTCGGCCAGTACGTGCTCGATTACTACTGGCGCGCCTGGGAGGGCGACTTTACCATCTCCATGTATGACGTCACGGCCAGGGGGCGGGGCCTGCTGGACGTCTGCGGCAACGGCACCGTTCGGGTGAGTGAGCCGTGATGGGAATTTTAACACGTCTCTGGTCAGTCACGGTACTCACAGACCACACGAAGTACAGCAATGCCAATATCTCGAAAAAGCTAAAACCTAGTTTCAATATTTCTGCTCTCGCTGCCCCCCTCTCTCTCCAGCTAACTCCTGCACCTAACCAAGATAAAAGATAAGTATCTGCGCCCGTCTCCACAGCTGACCCCCGCCCCTCCCCTGCCACAGCTGACCCCGTCCCTCTCCTCTCGCCAGCTGAACTCGGGCCACAGTCACGTGGAGGTGACGTATGCGCGGATCCACGCCGACCTGGGCAGCCCGCTGCTGGTGGAGGGCGCCGTCCAGACGGCCGTTGGCGCGCTCGGTCCGTACCTGTTTGACGTCATCAAGCCGAGCACCCTGGACCGCGTCAACGGCTACCTGCAGCGGCACTGTCAGCCGCACGTCAAGTCAGTACCTACCTGCTACCTACCCCACGCTACCGCGTCAGTGAAAAACTCCGCCGCCGGCCGCACCTCAAGTCAGTACTTAGGTACTACATACCCCTCGCCACCTGTCAGTTTATAAACCGCTGCCGGCCGCACCTCAAGTCAGCACCCCTTACCTCCGTGTTGGTGCATCAGAGATGCACGAAGACTTTGTTATTTACATCATGGGTCTAATTATTTTGCTACAGTCAGTTTCTGGCAAACAGCGAGTTCGCAGCTGTTTCCAGCTCACTCACAAGCCAAAATCAGTGACAAGCCCACCGGCAGTCTTCTGGGTCATTCCTAGAGCGGATATATATTAGCGATGTTGGCACGCGACTGGGGCCGGGACCTCGCTCAGTGTAGGTACCGTGTCGCGTGCCCCCCCATCTGGGACGAGGCACACGCAGGCGGAAATGGCTACCTCTGTGATTAGCAGCGCCACTCGCGGGCTGTCAGGACCAGAGCTGGTGTGCCAATGTAGAACCTCCGACCGCACCGCCTTCGCAGAGTGGGGAGGTGAATGGAACACTAATGCGACGGAACTTATACAGATGCTGTGCATGCTCATTGCTCAGGAAACTGCATATTATGCATTCAGAGCGCGAGTAACCGCATGACTTAGAATAAAGAAGATATAATTTACATATATGAAATATAGCATAAATCGTAAATGTGGGTACCTACAAATAACGCCTAATGATGGATGTCCCCTGACAGTGACCGACCCCTCCGCGCCGCTGCTGCCAACACTGCCCCATCTGACCCCTCTCCGCACCGCCCAGGGAGCTGGATGAGGAGCGCATGCTGACGGGCTCGTTCGCCATGGTCGACTCGGCCGTCCTCGAGGCCAGGAAGAGGGTGCGTCAGGCCGGCTACGACCCGCTGCCGCTGCCAGACATCAGCCAGGCTAGCTCCGGCGTGGAGGTCAGCACATATAAAACAACGGGTGCTGTACGCTGGTCGGGATAGTTCCAGGATAGTCAGAGTAGTGTGGGAAGTGCGCGGAAATGCAGTGGCGTGAGATTATTGCTGTTATGTTCACGAACGTTGTGTGCTGGCATTTGCAATCTACCATTTTTATACCTGACCGAATATAGCATTGTTCCAGCACACATGACGCTAGCTCAATAAATGCGATCCCGCGCTGTTCCATTGTCAGCTGTGAATTCGTGGAGCTCTGTGACCGACTCAAGGCCAGTGTAACCCACGCCCTAGCCTCACACTTGTGAGTCGCAGTTCAGCCTAACTAGCACCCCGGCCGCCCCGTCAGGTGGAGCTGAGCCACGGCGTGCTGACCGGCCTCAGCAACCTGAAGCGCTCCGGGGACGTGGCGCTCGGGGTGCTCGACCAGACGGCCAAGGCCACGCTGGCGCTCGGCACCGAGCGCGTCACCGGCAAGTACCGCTGGACCGTGCGCGGCTTCAACCTGCTCGAGCGCAGCGGCTTCGTCAAGTTCAGCGTCGACAGTCTGAAGCTGCGCGCCCGGCTGGCGCAGGTGCTGACGCTCCGCGAGAGGCCGCGCATCGACGACCTGGACGTCGACCTCGGCAAGCTGACCTTCCGGGCAGAGGGGCTCGGCAGCATGGACTACGCGCTCAACGTGGGCGCGCAGAGCTTCCCCGGCATGCTGAAAACGATCATCGTGAAGGCCGTGGAAGCTCCGCTCGTGTGGATTATCGAGAACCAGTTCAACGACCTGGTGCCGAGCTAGGCATGGCGATTTATTCGTAGACTGTAGCCCAGACAAGCATATGGAGACATTCATGATATTAAGGGTTCCTGGGTTCCTGTGATGCATCCGTAAGAACAGTGCAGCGGTGTTTACAACCTTCCGTTGCAATGCAGTCCCCCGAGAGTACCACTACCTACGCCCAAGCGGACCTGACCAGAGGTCGCAGCCATCGCCTGGTTAAACGTAAGTGGGTAAGCAGCTCACAGGTGGCGCTGACGGCACTGGACATCGGGGGCTAAACGCCAGGTCCCGCGTCCAGGGTCGCCCCACGCGCGGTGGAGCTGGAATAGTACATCAGCGATTCAGATAGCATCATCTTGAGTACTACAGCGATTCGACAGTGATTAAGACACGAGACAGCCAGAAGCCAGACACAGGAGCTAGGAGCAGCCTGGTGATTTATCGCTATTGTGCTCACGGATTCTAATTTGAAATGCAGATTGATAACTTGCATCTGGGGAGAATTCATCCAGATCCGACCAGCGGCGGTTTTACGTTCTTGCCTTGCTCTGTGCATGAAGCAATAAATGACAACCCACGAGACTAACCCGATCGACCACGAGGGAAGGGCTGTATTCAGCAGCGTTGGATCTTTGGATCCAGCGTCTGCTAGCCTTTGGGACCAATCAACAGACGAGCAAGGGTAGTCTCACTCAAGATTCTTACAGATAGTCTCACTCACGTAGACCTCGTCCGCCCCCCCCCCCCCCCCCAGCGGCCACGGTGCACGTCCGCCATTCACCCTACATTGTCCTGTCCTGCACCCTAAACGTCCGTTACGGGGCTGGATGAGGGGGCAGGAGGCGGCGTAATTCTGCACCAACTCCGGCCACCCCGTGCCGTTCCCGACAAACCATCGGCCATACACCCCGCATTACAAGTGACTCCCGCCACATCCAACACATGGTGTGAAAGTCAACGAATTTTGCGTTTTGTATTGTATACCGGTACCAGAGTAGTGTCGAATCGGACGAATTACAACCAACAAGAGGATGCATTGAAACAGCTAATTTGGAGCCAAAATATTTGACGACCACCTCACATTCAACATAACATATACGGCATCTGATAGTCATTCGATTCGGTCAAACAGCAGCAAGAGCCGACTCGGTTTGATCGATTGCAGCGAGACCCAGCAAAACCCTAGTTGCGCAGAATGGCTCACACCATTCGCTTGAGGTCACAGTGCCAGTGTACTTTTCACAGTTGGGCGAAGAATAGTCACGCTTCCCAATTTGGACACATGCCGTTGGCCCTCAAAAAGCCCGCAGTAAAGCAAGACTTCCTAAACACATCAACGGCAGGTTACGAACAAAACATGCAAACTTTGGTAAGAAAACAACTATCTATCTCTGCTGGCTTATAAAACTTGTGAGCAAAGTTTGCAGATGTTAGCAACACAATCACTTACACTGACATAATAGGTGCACTGGAATGACCTACGAGGCAGCGCCAGAAGGTACTCTCGTGCCTCACGGGACTGGGCCGGTTCGGATGCTTTTGAATCGACATTCTGCCGCATGACACGCCACCCAACAGTGTCACATTGCCCATGCTGAACCAGCTTTTACAAAAGAAAGCACTCTCGAAGCGGGCATTCCTGATCAGGTCGTACCAAGCGCACACACGCGCGCGCGCGCGGAGCAGACGTGTAGATCCAGAAGCTCACGCTCGGGCGCGCGCGGGCCTCGGCCCGGACGCTCAATACATAGTTCACACAACAGTTCAATTAAATTCATCAGTTGTCACCACCTTCTTGCTGTTCGTCACCTTCACCCTGCGAACGACACAGAACACATCCGTTAGCGACATTCACTGAGGATAATGCGCCCGATACCAGCCACACATTTAATTCAACTTTAAAGCACTCTTAACGAGCTAACCATTCGCAGGTTGTCTATTACAAGTTGGTATTGGCTGCGTAAACATACGGGGCAAAAAAAAAAAATGGAAGAGGCCATGACGTGACAATTATTTTACTAGTATTTCCCCTTGTTTTTCCTAGTTGACCCATTCCCTTCCCGCGGGCGACGTCGAGTTACTGACCTGAGCATCTGACGTCCACAACGTGAGGTTGTCCCTCAACAACTGCATGATGAGGGTGGAGTCTTTGTAGCTGTCTTCACTTAACGTGTCAAGCTCTGCGATCGCGTCATCGAAGGCCTGCCAGACGAGAGCACGGGTCAACGAGAACAATCCGACCACAGAGAGACAAAAATCGTCGAAGACAACAGCACGCGGGACCACATGAGAGGCGCAGCCTGCGCTCAGGACGCACAAACAAACCGAAAACCAATGTTAGCAGACTGCCACGGCCAAGGTTGTTAGTCGTAAAACACAGCAGGTTCACCACACACTCTGGCTGAATGCTGCAGCCCTGAGACTGCACTACAAATCGGCCACACACACACACACACATGTGCACTCAGCACACAATAAACGTTGCATTTGGGAAACCGGGCAACGCCCAAAAATACTCTAGAACAAAAGGAAGTCTTTAAAGCTTGGGAAGCATTAGTCCAGAAGGCTACGGACTACAATTAGAGGACTAGATATTAGAGAAAGGCACTGCACAAACCGCCACCGACGTGGCCCATACCTGCTTTGCCAAGTGACAAGCCCTATCGGGAGAATTTATGATTTCGTAGTAGAAAACGGAAAAGTTGAGGGCGAGTCCCAGCCGGATAGGGTGGGTTGAGGGCATCTTGGCCTTGGCAATGTCAAACGCATCCTGATAGGCCTTCTGGCTGTCGCTCACAACGGCTGAGAGAGAAGAGAGAACATAATTACACTGGGCACACGGTAGTCATGGGTCAGTACCTGTTTTGCCAACTGACACGCCTTCTCGGGCGAGTTGAGGATCTCATAGTAGAACACTGAGAAGTTGAGCGCCAACCCGAGCCGGATGGGGTGGGTGGGCTGCATTTTGGTCTTGCTGATCTCAAAAGCATCTTGGTAGGCTTTCTGAGAGTCGTCAACAATGGCTGCAAACAAGTTACCAGTTACATTTAGAGCATGTTGGATTTAACAGATAACCAGATACTCGTCATCAAAACATTTCGCCAGAAAACTAATCTAGCGGCGTCTATACACTCTACAACACATCACATACAAAAACCCGGATGTCCCGTCAACAAAACAACGCGAGAAGACACTTGGTCGCGTGCTCCAGTGTGTGCCCACACCAGATTCATGATTTGGCACTCACCGGTGCGGGCGTCTCCCGTCGCGACCTCTGCGAGGTACCTGAAGTAATCTCCCTTCATCTTCAGGTAGAAGACCTGGGACTCCGCCACAGAGGCCTTGGGGATGAGGAACTTGTCCAGCAGGTGCTGAAAACAGGAAGCGGCCGGTCACTACGGTATTCTGCCACCGAGATCGACTAACTTAACATAACGGCACTGCACAGGCGATCACCAGACGCATCAAGAACCCAGCATCACCCAAATTGAAATCAAAACACAAACGCACTAGCGCAGTCGTCAACGCAGACTCTTCCAACTACCTCCACTTCCTGCTAGAAGTACGTACCAGGACATCGTTGCAGATTTCGCGGAGCTCCTTTTCGACCTTTTCGCGGTACTCCTTGGCCATCTGCTGTTTCTTTTCGCTGCCCTCTGTTTTCTGTTCGATGCTGGAGATGACCCTCCAGGAACTCCGCCGGGCGCCGACCACGTTCTTGTAGGCCACCGAGAGCAGGTTCCTCTCCTCGTTACTGAGCTCGTTGTCTGAAATCGGACAGGCCTCACGTCAATCGAATGACCCGAGCTGGCCAGAGGTGGCGCGACAAAAGCAGGTCAATAGGTTAGGAATAGGGTGCAAGCAACTTGAGCATGACTGTATCTCAGGCAGCAATGTGACTACCCATCCACATAATTGCACCGACCGGATGACGAGTTCAAGTTTATCGTAAACAGATCTTGATCTCGACCGAATGCCCCATATGAAGCTTTCATAATGTGCGACAATGTGAGCCACCTACAGCAAGACAGACCCACAGTGGCAGGACCGGCCCTCCCAAACTTTGTGACTAACAATTCAACATATCACAGGCCGTTACATTTCGGATCAGTCCGATGAAACTGATGGATGACCAATGCTGCACGCCGAGCAACATTGGTCATCGACGCCCATAACACGCTACGAGATGAGAGATACGATATACGAGTCAAACCGACTGAATGAATGGAGCCTCCCCGTTAGTTCTGGCCCGTTCGAACACGCGGCACATTTGCGCGGACACTATCACTCATCCTTCCACGGCCGACACTTCGGCTGCTCAGTACATAGATAAGCCCACATACGGTGGCTGCTCAGTGATGGAAGAATTTCGAGTGAATTAATGTCGCTCCGCTGCCATAACTAGACCGATCCTGATCACGGTTCGGTAGTAACCTTCCGTAACAGGACACCAAGCTGCTAACACTTTTGCCATATATATGTGAGCTATCGGCTGATGATTATCGGCCTCATCGGTGGGCAGCACGAACCACGTGGCTTTCACGTCCCAAGGCCAAAAACGCCGACCATCAGGAAGCACGCTAACGGCTACCAATTTTGTTTCTCAGTTATGTCAAGAACGCTCATATCAGACTAGACGAAATTGAGTAGAACCGGGAAAAGTTCATCACTACTCGCATTTACCGATCCTTCGGCAGCCGACAACGCATTTTGTATCGTAACTAAGCAGAAAGCGGTTGGCACAACGTTGGTAACCAGTGAATGCTTTTTAGACGTACAAAACAATTTGTCCTGGTAGAGAAGCAAAGATTTATCGTGATATCTCGGAAACATCAGCGAATGCTGCAAGAAGCAGAGATGCTGACGTCATGGCATTGGCAGTGGTAAGCGTAAGCGGAGTGGGGACGCACTGAACAGCCCACGAGCTACCTACTGCACTCAGCGAAGGTAAACACCGCTCACCAATAACAAAATGGACGCTGCCCGTTGTTGTTTGTTTAATGGGGCTTAAGGGCCCGCCGCTGAAGCTGAAGCTAGGCTGAAGCCAAGCAGAAGCCGTGAGAGCGTTCAACTGGCCAAACGCTTATTACATTCCAGAATGATCTGCCTGGGATCCAAGCAGACATGTGCATGGATCCGAGCGACTACGATCCCAGTGGATCTCGAAGCAAACTGCAGGTAAATATCTATGATCCCGTCGGATGCGGCGTGAAAAATTAACCTTGAATCTATGATCTCAAACGATCTAACGATAAACCAAGAACATGGGTCTATGATCTGGGTGGATCCCACCATGCACAACATTTGGAACCATATTTTAAAAGGGTTGCTATGTCAACAAGTGCTACAAAACTATGGATTATGACGCGCAATCACATAAGATCACTAAAAGAGAACGTTTGTGAGTTACAAGTGTTTTGGGGGATTTCTGTGTTGACGAAAAATAAGTGAGGATCTATGATCTCACTGAATCACAAGCAAAAATGAGACTCGGATCTGTGATCCCTACGGATCCCTCGATAAATTACAGAGCTAGATCTACTCCTTTCGGATCCGAGATCAGATCCCAGATCTATTTTCTCGGATCCATGCACATGTCTGGATCCAAGTAACCAAACATTTATTTTTCTTTTGCACCGCCAGCTTCACGTTCCGTCCAATGAAGATTGAAAACGGCGGCATTCAACCCTTTTTAAGTCATATCACGCGACATACATTTTCTTTTGAAGATGATGAGCGGAATCACAAACTGGTGAACATATTCTACGACAAAAGTTCTGTGTATAGGCAATCCCATAAGCCTGGTTCATTTGCCAGCCCTGCTTGAAGATTTAAAGTCGATAAATGGTTCAACAAGGTCCTTCTATGGTACCGCCCATGTGGAATTGTCCAAACATTCCGCAAGTAGGTGATCAAGGGCAGCAGCTTATATGTTTTGTATGGAATGCCTTCCAAGCCCCAACTGCGCAGCGCATTTACAAATCCCGTGTGCCGATATCCGTATCCGAAAGTTACACGTGCACGGCGGGATTTCGCCGAATGTTTGACGTGCTCAAATAAGCTCAGCATAGCTCACCCCGAACAGACTTTGTAACGCGACCACTGCCACTGACCGCGGGCCACCCCCGCTGTGGGAAAATGACCGGCATGGAAGCGGATCGAACGGGGCCCTGACCATCTGTCAGCCCGGGAGACGGACACCCACGTGGACTATTTACATTTTGAATAGCTATACATATGGCCACCGACAAGGACGACAAGGACATAGCTATAAATATTTTGAATAGCTATACATTTTACATTACATATACAAAACATTTTGAATAGCTAAATACCTTGCCCATGGGAAACCTCTACAAGTCGAGTCTGAGCTACGCAAACCTTTCCGCTCAGACTCTGGCCTGCACCATCCGATCATGAAATAATGCCGCCGCACGGGCTGAACACAATCGAGGAGCCTATTCGGCGCTTTCATTCAGCAGTCACCTCAGTCGGTCCCCACTAGCCGTCACCAATCTCCAGAAAATGCCTGTATAGTGCGTCGGAGCGACTCAACGAGTCCACGACCTACCTAGCCGAGCTAGTGGGCAGTAACCACTCAGCACAGATGCGACCCTGTCTAAGGCCTACTCACTTGTTTCTGTGACGCTCTTCATGGCGGCGGCCATGTCGTCGTAGCGCTCGGCCTGCTCGGCCAGCTTGGCCCGCTGCACCAGCTCGTCCTTGTCGGTGGCCATCTCTGCGGGGAGGGAGAGCGGCGTCAGTTACCTGTCACACCAACAACGCACGATCCATCCAGTCCATTTGAGCCGTATAGCTCAGTTGACGCATGAAAGGTCACTGTTGGATATCCCCCAGTACAGCCAAGCAGTTGGTTGGAATAAGCGATGTATTGATAGGACAGGTGGTTCCTTGCTTTACTTTCCATTATCTACATAAAGTTCGAGTTAGTAATCAGACCATGGCCCTAACGTCTGCTAACGGAGCTCGTAGCACGCCCACAGGCCGGCCACCCGGGGACACTACGCTCGCGGCGACCCGGTTCCGTTATACAGCAGCAAAGTTTACTGTGCCGCTCACAGATGGCGACACGGTCCTCCAGGAACAGGGAGACCATTCATCGCCGGTTACCAGAAAACCTGGTCAATGAGCGCGGGCCAACCGATGCACACTTTTCAGGGGGTCGGATCTGCCACTGACTTGTGGGACTGAGCATGATATCTCTTGGTTGAAGACTGTCACAGGAATCTGTTGCAGACTTCTGGTTCTGGGACTGAACATAGGGCCTGTTCCAGCACCTCCAGTAGGAACTCTTGACTGGAGATTTCTGGAGATTGGCGTCACAAATACCGAAAGAATGACGATTGTTCTCCGGCCTTGAAACGCAAAATCTGTTTTCAATAGTAGTAAGAAAGATTAACAAAATTATAGCAATGTAATTTTCTTTACATTCAAGTTGTAAAATATCAGTCGAAAGTCCTTTGTTTACATTCGTAATTGTCACATGTGCGCCATAATTGTAGACCAGAGCCTCCAGAGAAATGTGGGCCTCCCAACTCTCTGGAGGCTACTGGAAGTTTCTGGAGCTTTGGCGAGCTTTCTGGAGGCGCTGGAACGCTCTCTGGAGGCACTGAAACAGGCCCATAGCATCTCTAGGGTTGAGAACTGTTACAACTTACAGAATGTCTGACCAAAATTCAATTCAATGCATTGGGTGGCACTACTTTATCTTGGATTTCATTTAATCGTTAACATCAGCATTCCAGAATGAGCTGAACTGATGGCGCTGAACTGCCAGCTATCACATTAACATGTGTCTATCCAGGCACTGCTTACAGAAAGGCTTTCTAACTTGCCTCTCAGTGGGTGCAATTATGGCTCATCAAATCAATTGCAAACAAATGCCATCCTAAGTATTCCATTCAAACATATTGGCAATGTGTTATTTACTCACAGTATTGGGTTCTAACCCTGCCCAAAAATGTGAATTGGTTGGCTTTTAAAACCAATTTTAAACATCACTGCTACTCAGTGTTTTAGTGCTTGGTCTGGTAAATGACTAGACTGATTTTACTATCTTTTACTTTCATGCTGATGTCTGAGGAGCTTCTTCATCCCAGGACCAAGGCATTGCCTAACAAGACAAATGGGGTTCAACAGCTCAATGTTATCTGCTTATCCTGAAGTTAAGTCATCAAACATTGGCACAAAACAGGATGCATTCAAACATTGGCACAAAGCTGTGCATTTCATGTCAATCATCCCATGAACCAATACAAACTGAACTTCCCTGTCCTATAGCATGGGTTTAATAGTTAACTTCTTTGTATGATACTGACCCCACTTTTCATTGTGCAACTATAACACAATTCCAACATAAACTGCAATCTGAAACCCTTTTTCTGATGAGGAACACTTACTACTTCATACCCATAAATTGTAGACTGCATCCAGCACAAATGTCAGATAAGAGCAGTCAATCAAGAAATCATTGGACCCAAACCACTAATCCTCCTATAACTAATACATCCTGTAAGGGAAAAATACATTTTGATTTCTAGCATAAGTGGGTGTTACCAATTTAAACCCTATTTTGAAGATTACTTATCTGCTGCTTAAGCCAATCCAAAACCTAAGTATTCAGCCTTAGAACTAGTGAACTAAACGGTAGAGTACAAATTTTGATGGCAATTTTGCACTCTAAGTAATTACCACAAGTTAGTAATTTAAAGTTCGCCTGATGGATCATTATTTTCTGCTAAAATATTGCAGTGCCTTCAAATCCACTACAAAAACAACACCAGTTCATCATTACCATCTGCTAGACAATGGAAATTGACAAAATCTAAAGCAAAGGATATTGACACAAAAACTTGGGTCATGAACTAAACAATTTGCGCCATTCACAGCTTTTAACATAACTCTTAATATAAAGCATGCACACAGGACGTTCTGACGCGAAGACTTTATCTCCAGTGGCTGCAAAGAAATAATAGGCGGACCAACGCATAACCCACAGCCGCACTGCTTCAACGGTGCCACACCTTCACGGGACTGGGAAGATTCCCGGCCCGGCGCAAAATGAGCAGCATAACCCGCCAAAGAGGAGTCGGTTTAGAGTACACCGGTTTATGAAACACTCGCAATAACAACCAACCTGTTTATTGAATCCAAGCACGGCCAGGGAACGCTTTTTTGACGCACGAGAGTCCCGGAAATGCACCCAACAGCCACGCGCGCCTTGAACGAGACTGCCGGGCCGACAGAAGTTCGTGAAGGATCTTCAGCGGAAGGCGCTCACTCAACTGAGCAACTTTACTGTATTTTGATTCAGTAGATGATTGGTTCGCTATTTTTTACACATTCCTTTCTACATTTTTTTAAAATAAGTCTTATAAAAATATTTATAATATTTTAGATCAGGAATAACAGGCCGAAAAATTATCGCATTTTAAAAAGGTTTGCAGTAGATCTCAGAAATAGGCATTTACTTTGCATGAAAGATAATAATTATATCTTTCATCAATTTTCAAACCAACAAATTTTGTATTTTGTCAAATTTTGCGTGTACAAATTATTTCCAAGAAATGGTTTATAGTTTGTTACTTTTTCGCCAGCAAGGTGCCTCAGTTATGCTTTTCGATATTTGTGTTTCATGAATGAAAATGTGAAAAAGATATCAAACATTGGAATAAAAACACTTGATACAACTCAATTTTTCAAAGGAAATGTTTCTTTGCCATATGGAATGCATTCCTGTCGTATTTTCTCAAAAACAAATAAGTTTATTCATTCATGGCGCATCTGTTACAAATACATGCTTTCTGCTGAACCATTATAGAGTTCAGTGTGCTGAACACTGAACTCTATAATGCTGCTGAACTACCAAAACAAACAACATGAAATGTGACGAAGATGATTTTATGAAATGTTGGTGCTAATTGTAGTGTATTTTGTACGCGCCCTAATCCAACAAGGGCAAGAACAAGATGGTATATTTGGTTGCGATGCTCAAACTATATCCCGTCGTGGTAGGTTCCGATTGATGCATTTACGCGCTTTTAGTTTGTAGCTATTTTTTAGCCGGTCTGAGCACATCAACATTGTCGAAGGTAGGTTGAGAAGAGGAAGAGGTTAAGGTCACCTGCACCAGCATTGAAATTGCAGTCTACAGCAACAGGGCGTCATCTATTCTGATTCCAATTGATCATTGGCCACTGATATCAATGTCTTGCTGTTGTATTTTATGGTTTAGTTTGTACCTCGATTCAATGCTATGACATGTCAATGTGTCACTTTTATGGTAGTTGTGAGGCTTACTGCAAATGAAGGCATCACCATTTCGCTAATTTTTAGCCACCTGAATTTAATTCATATGGGATATGCCTATGATATGACTGTCAATCAGACCATCATAAATGATGAATGCCTTCTCTTATATCTAAGAATGAAACTGACTTCTGCATTCAGGAAATCGCATGCGCATGCGAGAGCCTATTCAAATACATGGAAGCACACTCGCATCAATTGCACGCACCTCCCGCATGTGATTGATGCAATGATGTATTTGAATAGGCTCTCGCATGTGATTTACTGAATATGGGAAGAGTCTGCTTCAGCCTTAATGGACAAACAAACCACTCATGTTTCCAGGAAAACCTGGCCAATTTGGAAATGAATGTCCTGCTGCCTAAACTTCAGGTGAGAAATTTTGCCACTGTCATGTGCCCTTCACCTTGTAGTAAATAGATTGACTGTGCAACCAAATGGTTATTATAGGGTTTATTTGAATCCAAACCTGGTGCATATATTTTTAAAGTTGGCTTGATTGTTTTTCACCCTGTATGCCACTTTGTAAATAATTAGTGATTGCTTGTGTAGCAGTTTATTGGCAGGCATGACATCAGCAAATTTATTTTTCTATTGACTCTGCAGATAGTATTTGGCTGCAAAAATGCGTAGGTACTTAATTGAAAACCATGCTAAACAGAGCAGAATGTATCCTTGCAACAGTTGGAAACAAACATTTATGTGTCAGTGTCATCTTGTCTACTCAATTTTGCTTTTTGAGTTTGTTAATAGCAATGTTGCATGTTCATTATGATTAGATACTTATTCATTAGGCTCATATTCAGGTTGTGTTGTATTTCATTTCATGGTGCATTTTTCAAGCATCACAATGCATGAGGAGGAACTACTAAATGATTTTACAGTTAGATGCAAGGACTTAGGGGTAAGGAAGTAGCTGAGAGCTGTCAACTGATCTCAACCCATCTACCAGCATTTTGAGGCCTTCGGGTGCCATTTTTACGCCGTCGTGTGGCGCCCTATTCGCTTTCTGGATGGCTGGGAGAGGCGGCAACAGCTGGATCCATGTAGAGACCGGCTGGAGCCTGGGGAGGGTCGTCAGAGGGATGCGCCGTTACCGGGCTCGCGCCTTGAACCCCGCTCCCAGCGTCCCGTCGACCCATACCGCCCTATGGTGGGCAGTGGTGCTCCGGATGTCTGGCCGGGATCGGTGAGGGATGACACACTACTGTATCGGCTATACTCTGTTCCGTTTCAAGCTTGCAGCCGAAGTGCTTTGCTGAAAGCAGTGCGTGGTTTCTGTATATACAGCTCTTACATTTTAAGACGCAAATTCTTGAGCGGAGGAGCGATCTGCTTAAGAAACTCCGACTGCAAGCTTGATATGGAACAGACTATAGCGATGGAACGAGATGCGGCGATGGTGAGTTATAGTCGTGGTTAGCTCCTGGTGCTGGGGGATGTTTTCCGCATTAACAGCAGTTGGCGCTCTTTGGTTGTGACTCGCATTTTGTTCTGGCTGCTAGTCTGTGTTAATGGCTGCGATAAGCGATGCTATATGATTGTACACAACCAGACCATGGTCTGGCGACTGGTCTGTGCTGATAACCACCGGTCTCTGTCCGACGGCCCTGGAGTGTTTGATCGTCCCCATGAGCTGGTGGTCAATGTGGCTGAATCCTACCTGCTGGGCTGTGAATGGACTATCTACTTTCTACCTGCTGCTGGCCACTGCTATCAGCAGCTTTCATTGGTGCTAGGCTTCAGTGGCCGCGAACGGTGGTACCGAAGGTCGCTAATGTTGTTGTTATTACCTTAGCCTTTAAATTGGTGTCTTATTTGGGAACATGCCTACGGACAGCCCTCCAATGATGGCGGATCCAGCCTGAGAGACTGTAGTGGCCGAACATCAAACGCATTCCTGCTCGCCTGTCTTGTAAGTACAGACAAGCATGAGTTAGCTGTTCGGAACCGGGCGATTGAGGAGCCTATTCCGCGTGCCCTATTGCTCTCCGGTAGCCCTCTCTGAAACCCGGAGGTCCCATGGACCATTGTTTCCATTCGTAACTATTTGTTTTTCAAAACATTTCAGTCTGCTGGCTTAGTCCCCGCAGCGAAGACACGTAATGGGGCGCATTGCTGCCGCGGCATCTCCCACAATTCATTGAGACTGGATGATGGGCTGTTCCCCGGTGTGAGAAGCAGCGCTGCCCTGTGGAGAGTACCCTCCGCGCCCCGGCCCAGTGCCGGCGGCGGCAGCGGGCGGCGCGACCCCGGCGGGCGCGCTCGGCGCCGTGCCGCTGGCCGCCTTCCGGTGTCGGCGGGTGTCACGGCTCAGCGCGGCGGACCTTTCTGCTCCGGTGGCGGCCGCAGGTGCATTGTTCCCGGTCCAGCCGGCCGGCCGGCCGCTCTCGCCTCCAGCTGCCGCCGCAGACGGTTCTCAGCGCGCCGCCGCCGGCAACGCGCCCCCGCCGCCCGCCACACCCGCGCCTCTGTGTCGCGTGTTTGTGTTTGTGTGTGAAGACGCCTGCCGTAGTGTGGCAGCTGCAAGAGTACGACGGTCGTGGGTTGTGGACCGGACTTACCCGTGGACAAAGGACCCCAGAGCAAGAACCGAGGACCGACGTCCAGCCACGGTGGTCGGTCCGCGCGCGGCTGTTGTCCGCCGATGACGGTGGTACGATAGCGTATCGGCTGCCGCCCGCCGAGGGCTCAATCGGGACCTCTGAGTCACACCTGAGTGGCTGGTGGCGCAGCGTTGTGAGAGCCGCCCTGCCGGAGCCTCGGCCGCCGCCAGTGGGGCCGTCTCAGGTGAGAGGGGGTCGTGCTGGGAGGGAGGAGGATATCGTGTCGGTATCGCCGGCACTCGGCATAGGACAGAGGGCGGTGAGGACGTCATCGGTGTTGGCGGAGGACGCGCCGCCGCTATCCGGGTGGAGCTGCAGGCGGGATGGGCCCGTCTCCGGCGAATCCAACTCCGCCGATACAGCGGCTGCGCACCGGATTACACGCGAATCGGGGCTAATCCGGCTGAGGCCACCCTGATAACAGGTGCTGTCCGATTGCGACTGCGATGGTGGGCTGACGAATCTATCGCCGTCTGGTTTATTTGTTGGCTCGTGTTTTTCATGCATGTTTTTGGAGTGAGTTTTTCTCGGGATCAGAGGTCGTTTACATACTGTTTATCTTTTCTTGTCTCCCACTCGGTGTTGTACGGGCCCGGCGCCTCTCGAGTTCGTTTACTCGTACTTCTCGAACAAAACACTCATCCTTGGTGCTTCTAACAAGGATATTTACTACGATAACGGCGTCAACACACGCCATTTGCTGGACAGTTGGCAGAGTTGATTTTCTCTGTTCCCATTTCAATGCTGTTTGCTGGGGCAGACTTCATGCCAGTTGCGCAAGATCCAGAGATACCGAGTTGCTCCGTTCATCCCTACGCAACCCATGCGGGTCAGCGCGTTCCGTGCGTTTCATCACCAGTGAAACTGCTGGGCGGCCAGTGCCCAGAACGGCTCGTGGCTTCCGCCCGGAACAGCTGCCCGGCCGGGCGGGGCTACCGCACGTCACTCTCCACTGACCCCCACCAGGAACGGCGCCGACCTGGCCCCGACTTCACAGCGATGGCAACCGACCTGCCAGGCAGGGCTGCGGAGTCGGAGTCAGAGTCGGTCGGAGTCGACAGTTCTGACCGGGCTCGGAATCGGAGTCTATTTCGGAAACTGGAGTCGGAGTCACCGAAAATCCCCATCGACTCCGCAGATCTGGCAGAGCTTGGGAGTCGGAGTTGGAGTCGGTCGGAGTAAACACTAAATAGTTTTGTTCGGACTCGGAGAGTCTAAGTCGGAATTGTTTTTTTTTTTTTAATCCGGAGTCAGAGTGGGAGTCACTGAAAATCCATCGACTCCGCAGCCCTGCAGTGCCAGGGACAGCAGACAACCTGACCGGCGTCTGACCTGGCAGGGCCGACGCTGACTCGCTACCGACGACAGATGACCTGTCAGGGCCGGCGCCGACCCGCCAAGGCCATGCACTGCTGTCTCCGGACCAAGGAGAACGGCCGGTGGACGCGGCTGTCGGGGACACTTGTATCGATAGCTGTTTTTGCTCAGACCTGGTCAGCTGCCGACAAGGTGGAAGCGTCGGGCCTCTTTGTTCGCAGTGGTTGGTATCTTTGTTCGATTTCCGTAGGTGGCTGTGGCTGGGTGTTGTTCGCCGTGTGCCGATGTATGTGCGCAGTCGGACCATGTCTCCGCGCGATGTGGCGGTCTAATGCGGCGGCTCCATGTCTGGGTGCGACACTGCGGTGCCGTTTCACGCCTCTGTATCGCCATGATTGGTCTGTGGCAGGCGGTCGCCGTGCTCCGCTTTGTCTGGGCTCGGCGAGGTATGAATGCCGGTACGTCGCGGCCCCGTCGGTGGTCCACCCCCAGCCTGTCCTTCAGCTCGGCAGTAAGAAGTTGATTGATTTGGTGAGGTGGATATTTCTCTACCGGAAAACATGGTATTGTCCTTCTCTTTGTGGCACGGGTCGATTGTCTAGCAATACGAACCGGAAGTTTCTAGCGTCGCTTTCTGTACATTATGCAGACAAGTTATAGTTTAATGAGTTAAAGATCCGTTGATAGCCTTCCTAAGCGTGATCCAAACTGAGAGTAGTTTCCTTGCGACTGTTAACTGTTAACGCGCTGTTTCCTCGAAGGTTTTACCAGATAATTTATATTTGATCAAGTATGTGCCTGCTAACTAAGAAGCATGAAGCAATCTCGTTATAAAAGAGTTTTCCTACATTTGCGTAACACCACGTAACACCCTGTGGCTGTCGAGGTCTGACATTTTCGTCTTATGTGAAACACTTAGTACATAATATTCACCGCACCACGGACGATTCCAGCGGAAGAGATTAAGTTCGAAAATCTGCAGGCGATTTGTGTATTGATACTGGTCACGGTTGATTCGTTTTGTTCATTCATGATCATTCATTTCGCTCTCCGACGAGTCGAGCTATATGCCTCTGACGGCTATGCCCTCGACTGAGGCAGCTCTATCAGCGTTCTCGGGCCGCCAATATGGGCTGAACGGTGACCTCACTCCCTTTGCACTGCCAACTGTGCTCCGAAAAGATAGCTGGCGGATCTGTGAGCTCCACGGAGCACGACGGTTTTAGATTTAGACTAAACCATCAAGTAGCCTGGTTCGTCTAACCCTTGAGGCCACATTGTCTTTGTCAGCACCGATACGGAGAAGCCGGTCATGTGACCCCCTGACACGTGACCTCTGCTCGGGTCACGTGACCCGGCTGCCGGCCGAGCTGTCTCGGTAGTCATTCTATTGTCACGACTGCGACTGCCAGCGGAACTTCGTTAGCGGAGGGGCGGTCATGTCCGACA